GAGTAATAATACATAAAAATATAGTATATAAAAAAAAAACCAACGTACAAACTATAACTAAAACAATACCGAACCATCAGCACTCGCCGTAGAAATAAAATATACACATGAACAAAGCAACATAATGCAAGAGGCCGTAGCCAAAAAATAATAAAGCTAAATTCATTGACAGTTGACAGCTGAGGTTTGATAGAATAAATTTAAATTTAACATGAAAAAAATTAACTTCTTTAAAGAAGGTGCTATGTTACCTACCACAGAAATAAGATAGAAATACCTACATATAATGCAAAAATTAATTTAAACACAAAGAACAAAAAACAATAAAAAAAGAAATCAAATTACGAGAAACAAAAATCACAATCACAATTAGTGCAACCTCCGACGCGACTTAGCAGCTGCAGAACCCTTCGTCGATTTACTAGCTGTCTCCAATGGATTTACTGCAGCCTGTGCGACGTCAGTTTTCCCAGCTGCAGCCGCAGGGAATCGGGCAATCAGGGGCCGAAGTTCAGCCATGGCCTCTACTTTCGTTCTGGTCTTATCAGGAAGAACGATCATGATTTTCCCCTCTGTAGACCAGCACCGATTAACACCGAAGTGCTTACGAGCTGCGATAAATGTGGAGTGCCTCGCCTTAGTTAGAAACTCAGATATGGTGATACCAGAGCCCTTCAACGCAGTTTTACTGTCCCAGACAGATCGGCGAAGTTCGAAATCACCAAATCGAACCAGCACAGCTCTAGGTTTACTTTGTGAGGATCTCCATGGTCCCAAACGGTGACAAGCCAGTAAGTGTTTTTCATGGATTTCCGCTAAATGCAATTGGTTATGCAACAATTTCACAATTACTGAATTTAATTGTTCTTCCTTGTTCTCAGCTACACCATGGAAAAGCAGGACCTTTTTGCGCAAAAATGTTTCATGGCGGTCAAGACCCAAAGATATAAGCTCGATCTGAGCCTTAAGTTTGGACATAGTCTGAAGTACAAAACACTTGAACTCACTGAAGTCCTGGGAAAGCGATGCAATATTGCGGTGAGCAGGAGAAGTATCCGAAGCCTGGAGTTTGGCTTCATAGTCCCCCATTCTTGACTCAAACATCTTCTGTAAGTCGTCCAGGTTGGAAGCAAGTTTGGCTGACAGGTCCATTTGTGAAATTTTGTGCACAAAGTGTTTAAAGTGGAAAATTGATTGTGTGGCGAGTGAGATAGGTCAGTGAACACAATTAACTGTGATTATACATAAGAAAATACTAATGTAAGTAATTAAAATTACAATTTAATAGAGGAGCTCTTTTCTTTGATGCTTATGAGGCGACTACCCGCAAAAAAAAAAAAAAGGTTAGTGAGGTGTACATGTTAATTTTTCAAATTAACTACGATGATCGAAAATCGAGTTGAAGAATTTATAGAGCATGCAAAACAACACCCTGCAATGTGGGATATCAGTTCCGCCATTTATTCTAATCGACTGAAAAAAAAGGCATGGGAAAATTTATTGACAATTTTGAAACTAAAACTACAAATGAAAAAACATAGCAGGCGAGTCATTTTTAATACCTATACGTGAAGTGTGTGCCCCAAGAACTCTGACCCCCCTAACTATATATCTTTAGGTTCTGAATACAAGTGTGAAGACTAGTGTTAAACAAACATAAAAATCCCATAAAAACCCGTAAACAAGGTGAACTCGATTTACGAAAACTATTTGCAAATATTTTTCGTAAATCGAGTTAAATCGAGAAAAAGTTTTATAACTATTTAATGGTAGTATTCATTCATTTTGATTATTTTGACAAAATAAAGGTAACGAACGGATTCTAATACGTTCTGGTATTCTTTTTAATTTTTTTTCTCCAGTTTTACAAAATAAGTCAAAGTAACGTTTCTTCGTCAGAATCCATCGTGTAACTGAGTCGAAAGATAAAACATCACTAAAAATTTGGTCGCACTCCAGCAGCACGACTATCGCGCGACCGCCGCGCGGCTGCAGCGCGGCTACAGCGCATCTAACAGCGCAGCGGCTAATTTGAATGCACCTTTAGTCCATATTTTGGAATTCAGATATTTTTATAAAAATGGCTTTAGAATGCTAAAATCATGTAATGGTAAAACACATTATCCTACGACAATAGGAATATTTTTACTAATTGTATTTGACTTTAATAAGATTTAAGATTTATACCTTATAAACTTCATTCTCTTTAAAACGCTCTGTAGTAAAAAGTACCACTGGGCACTTATGGTGATCTGAGCATCTATCGAGAAATCAGAAGAAAAATTGTTCTGTCAAACATTCAAACTATATAATAAATATGATCGTCGAACTTATTAGCAGTACAAAAAAAAATGCAAGTGGTCAATTTTGCAGATCTTGAATCTTTCATTCATTATTATAGTTGACATGTTTAATCTTATCCAATTTTTCAACATCAACTTACATTAATTTTTTTTTAAATGTCATCATGTATCTATCGCTACAATTCTAAAGAAGCAAAAAAAATGAAAATAAAATTTTGGATTCCATTTTTATTTTTCAACGGTAATAATATTTTTTATTAAAAAATGACCGCTTCGTCAAGGAAAAAAAGACTTTTGTAAGGTTCTGCTTATCCGCAAGCTAGTCAATGTATTTCAAAGTATAAAACAACAGATATCCTAGAAGAGGAAAAATAGACGATAATTTACTTATATCGTAGACTGAAATCAAGACCCAGGATCCGTTAATATAGTCGTTCCATATCCCTTAAGGTAAATGTGGCGTTCTATACAGAGATATCCCATGTTCATGTCATAGCTCTTACTGATAACATAGTACAATTACTCGTATATTGCTATATGTACACTAGGAGGGTTTGGGAATAACCCACAGTCGATCCCAGTGTTTACGATGTCAATAGGAAACAAACATGATAGTGATCTGTTTTTCTTTCAAGGACACTACTATTATTACAAACGTAGTAACACGACCCTTTATACGGGAAGGTTCAAAAATATTTGTTAACAACATTAGAAGAGTATTTTTCGCCGTACGCGAAGCAAAGCGCTTTGACATAATGTTGAATCGATTCTGGATATCATTCTGATAATTAATACTAATAATGTACTTGAGGTGAGTCGTCGGAGCAGAAGCGGGAAAAACTATTTTGTTAGATCAAACAGTTTAGGTATTTACTATTAAGTAACGTTCTTACAAGAAATATACAATACACCTAAGGATATTGTCTAAAGAAAGTGTTAATATGTCACACGATATAATGTACTTTATCTGATTATATAAAATCCTGAAAAAGGCTAATGTAAAAGTCTGAAACGAATTATTTAAGAATAAAATATCTAATTTTGTTCCCTTACAAACCCATGTTCATCTTCACTTTTATTTGATTTATTTAATTTATCCTCGGTCTTTTTCTGTCTCGCTTTTCATCAATTGTTACTTCTCTTACATTTTATATACAATTCTCGTATTATACAAGGTGACCCAATTATGTTCACTGTTCTGTTATATATGATTAACACGGATGCAACAACGAAGATTACGTATGCCTTCTTTCACACAAATTAGGCCTTGGACTTAATGTAAGTACAATCAAAAACAATCACCTACCACAAATAAATATTCTAATCTAGGTCCCAATCTGACAGTCACTTATCTCAAGCAAACTATTTGGACAAGCACTAACTACGACATATACTATATACTGTATGACAGCTACCATTATTATAACCATCGGTGGATACCACAAAATCCATGGTGGATATATTCTAAATTGTAGCGTCAAAGTATCAAAAGTAGCCAATCAGTCTTTTGAAGTTCTACTTAATATGATATGTACAGTTATTTGAATTCTCGCAAATAATATTCGTATTCTTTTCTTTACTGCTCTGCCTGCTCTTGCCTATTACCTAACCATGGAACAAAGATAGAGTCCTCCCAAACGATGTCAATCATGATTCAGATTCAGTGACACCTTAAAGATATTCGGGTTGTATGTATTTGGTTAACACTGACTGTCACAGGCTGGGAATTTCGTTCCTGAACTGTGTGTATAATAAAAGATGACGAAAAGCGCTTAATACGCCAGAAGGGAAAATGGCGTAGTAAGGATGATGTTTCGTCGCATATTTGGATGTCTGATGGTAAAAAGGGGCGGGCAGAATGAACTGATGGAAGATTCGGACGAGAAGATGAGCATTCTATTGATGGTAACGTGTGGGGAACACGCTGTCAAATGTCGTCAAACATGGTAGCTCAAATTAACTATAGACTAAACCACACCCTTTAGATGTTAATAACGTCACGAACATGTCTATGAAATAGTAAATTACAAAGCCCAGGCAGAAAACTTCTACCTACTATAGGGAATAACAACACTTCGTTCATCAAATTATCGTGCATTAGTGACTCACAAAACAGTATATTTTAATATATTGGGTTCAGTACTTTGAAAACTTTAATGATTGATAATTAATCATTATGATTCACAGTAGATCTAAAAGTATTTTTAACAAGGAATGCGACATGTATTGTATATATTTTTCTGAATCCACGTGAAGCTATCCTCCATCTGTTACGTAGATATCTATTCCATTTTGTAGGTACTATGTCTATGGAACATTATGAGAACTCATTTTCACTTTGTACATTTTTGTAATATCATCAAATATCATATCTCTCAGAAAGATTATTTGCCATATTTCCCACTCTTTGCAGGAAAGTGCGCAATTACACTAAAGGATTATTTTTAACACACAGAATTTTTTTTATGGATTTATTGAATTATTTAGATCAATAACTTTAAGAGAACAAATCCACTGACATAGAAAATAACATTAGAATAATTCATTTGTCGAAAATAAACCAACCGAAAATGTTGAGGATCCCTAAAGGTTTATTTGATTAAAAGTAGACAAAATAAACACGTTACATCCATTAGCGTTTACAAACTTGAAGTCAAATGATCGTGAACGGGCTTTACTGTAATAAAAGTGAACAATATGAGTAAAAGACATGATATAAAAAGGAATTTCTTTTTTTGGATTCCTGTTAAAAGTAAGTTCTGCAAAAAATATCTTTCGTAATATAGATTTCGTTAACAATTTGTTGTAATATAAGTTTTGAGATAGATTCAAATTTAATATCATATAGCATTTCTACAACGATTATGTTTGAGGCGTCAAATAAATTAAAAGTGATTTGTAGCCTACTTAGTACTTACTTACATTTATATATACCAGTATTATACAACACATATACATATATACAACACCTATTTACTTTTCTACATATTTACTGAACATACATAAACTGTGCACTTTATATCTACACAACTATAAATTTTGTTTACATGCAAATAAAATAATCTAACAATAAAAATATTATTTATTATCGTGTAAGATAGTTATCACCCGATAGCGGCCAAACTCCTTACAGATTCTTCCACGTTCACTTTTGATGTTTAAAATGAGCACAAAATTTTACAAATGTTATATAAAAAGTGAAAGGTAATTGTAGCTTTTGCTACAAACTCTTTGCATTGTTTAGGATACCTTCTGTCGGTGCTATAGTAAGTACCCTCCGTATTTGCATATGTTTTTTCCCGAATCTTCTTTATTATATACAACTTGCAGACAACAAAATCAACGTAGCACCGAAACTTAAGCCAAAGGATCGTGTGGTAACATTTCAAGAATCGCTCAAAGCAACTTTGATTGCTGGGCAAATGTTTTCTTTAATGCCAGTTAACGGAATTTCCAGTGACAAGGCATCTGATGTAAAGTAAGTATAAGTCGATTTAAGATTAGAAGAAGATTATTTCTTTGATTAACGGAATCGAACATAATTTTCTTCAGCCTACTACTTCCTACCGAGTTGATGTTCGAAATCATATTAATTGCATCGTAATGATACGTATGTATAAACAAAGGCGTAAAAGTTATAGCTGAAACAATATTTTGGTTCTAAATCTCCTCAATGCAACCCGTACCAAGTTTTTGATCAAACTACAGGGGGACATTCTCTATTGCATCTTCAATCTTGTAGTCGATACTCGAGAATTTAGCTTCTTCATCATCTGTAACTTTTGAAATGTATAAAAAATAGCATTTCTTTTACTATTACCAGTGTTT